AATTGACTGTCAGCCAGGTCAACATGAGAAACTTAAAATATTGGTTTCTGCAGCTCTGGAACCCCATAAGATTGGGTCTCTAATCCATGAACTAGTGGAACTCATTTACAAAACCTTTCCTAAACTTTACATGAATATATTGTCTCATACTATAGAATTAGAATTTATAATCCCTATTCCATGATGAGATATCGTTGAGCTATAATGTAATTTAATTAAAACTATTGTTTTTCCCCTCAAAAAGCATTTTATCAACAAAATTGATTTAAATTAAAAAAAAATCTGATTTTTATCCACCCCGACCTTAGCAGCTCTTGCTGCTGCTCGCTGGGTGCCAACTGATGACTTGCAGTTTTGCCATAACAGGACGTGCAACTTCTTGTATCAAAAGGCTACCGTCTTACCCACCCAGTTCATAGTGCTACTGCAGGTGCTACTAGAGATTTTGCTGTGCTGTACAAGCTGATATGGGGACAGGTGACAAGATTTCATGAGTGACTGAACCTCAAGCGCTTTGGCTAAACAACTTTTGCATAGACACACCCACCCTGCCTAGGTGCTCAGCACGATGGGATTGCTTGCAAAAATGTAACCCTCCTGCCAGGTGGTGCCAGCAGCAACAAGGGCCGGGTTCAGTACCTAGGGGTTCCTTTTCACCAATACAACACCCCACCCAGTGACCTGGGACAATTATACACCACCACCTGGGCACCTCTAAGAGACAACACTTCCCCTCTCGCAAGCACAGAGTCTGAGTGTAGCAAAAACTTGTAATAAAAGGAGGGAAGTAACTCATCATTAATTTGGGAAAACACTGCAACTAGGGTTCATAAACACAAACCATGAGCAAAAGCCCCACCCCCAAGTAAGTTAGGCAGTGTCCTTCTCCCCTCAGGCTCTTAAGTCCAGCAACCCAAAAGTCCCTTTAACGTGCCCGTCCCTTCTCTGCACCCCACCCACTCACAGTTGCTGTCCTTGGCCAGTGCAGCCCCAGACTTCACCTCCCACCCTGTGTGAGTAAAGAGGCACCTTACACACTGCACTGCTCGGGCACTCGCTCGTCGCCCCAGCGGCCGATTGCCACGCCTCTGGGGGGCTCTGCTCTAGCCCTCTCTGCCAGCCGCCCTAAATTGTAGGCTACCTCTCTAAAAATGCCTGCAGGCCAGGGGCTGTCAGTTGCCTCTCTTCCTCCCTACCCCTGCACTGGCTACCTTTCGCAGGAGCTGATACCCCTCAGGAATTTGGGCCGGCACCTCTTCCCCCCTCCTTCATTCCACTGACCCTCAGGGACCCCGTGTCAAACATGGTGCCTCAAGGCCTGCCCACGGCCGCTGCGCACAGCACCGCCTGCCCCTCGCCTTGTTCCACCCGCCTCCCGCTGGTGGTCCAAATCTTACCCCCTTATTGCCACGTGCTGCACTGAGTAATTCTCTGCAAAGTGCAGCTGTGCCCATCTCCTCCCACCCCGTGTGCCCTGGGGCAGGGCTCGCCCCTTCGTGCCACTGCAACACGGGGGCAGAGGGAGAGATGCAGGGACCCAGGCCGGTGCTACCATTAAGGCAAACTAGGCGGTTGCCTAGGGCGCCAAGATTTGGGGGCGCCAAAAAGCGGTGCCCCCAATTCCCCCCC